CAATTTCCTGAACATTAAATTTATTGTCCAAAAAGTCCTGATAACTGTTGCACCCATTTTTCCCGGTAAATTTTCCAAACCAATTATTTTTCTCGCTACCGTTCTTATAGTAAATATTGTCTTTGGGTATATAATAACCTAAATCTTTTAGCGTCTGTTCGACAAATTGATATTTTCCCGTAAATCCATAGGAATTCACTACATTATATTCGTTATTACTGTTATAACTTATTCCCGTTTCTAGTTGACCTAAAGTATTAAACGTCGAATTTAACGATGCTGCGCCATACGGAGCTTTACAATGTGGTCGAATGAATATGGAAGGATTATTCAATAAAAATATTATGATCACTATGATTGCCGCGATCATTAAGATGAATAGATGGAAGAGTATTATTCGTGATTTATTACAGTGATTCCGCAAGAATCGTTTTATTTTTTTCAACTGTTTTCCCTTTCTTGTCGTTTTCGATGCGATATTTGGATGCCGATCATTCGAAGTAACATCATTGTGGTCATGAGGTTCGTTTGAGTTCATTCCCGGTTTTTAATTATCAAGTATTTTTTAAAAAGTGCTATTAAATATTCAACGGTGCAACGGTACAACTGAATTTTATATCCGATATGTGACGAGGAAAAAAGAAAAAAAAAAGGTCGATTACACAACCTTGACATGTCGTTTATATACAACTTTTTACCTATCCTTAAGTATCCTATTATGGATATTTAATTAAAAAACCCTTTACTCCCTGAGGTTAAAATGAATAATATGTAGATCATTGCTTTGAGCCCTCAATTTTATTGGTCAAACATTGTTTGGTAACAATTGCGACGCGACAATCCAATCACAACATTCTCGACTTTAAAAAAAAATAGATATGTATGTATATCTTTCTATATTTTATTTTATGATTATGTCATGTTTTCGTTTACCAAAAATATAATTCGGATTCTAAAGTTTCAAGAACTTCATCGACCGCATCATTTAATTCTAACCCGTGAGACAGAAGGATCCAATGGATGTCATCCTGAGCTTCAGCCAAGTAATGCCCAGACTTTCGAACACCCCTAAATCCAACTTGACTCCAAATTTCTGGGCCCATTCGATAATTACGAATTTCTACTTTTTTTTCTCTGATCCGGTTGTTGGTAATCCTGAGAACACTTTAACGTAATCATAGATGAGCCATTGCAAGGCAGTCAGTGTACCGATCATAATGACACGAGTACCAAGACCTCGCCAAATTCCAAGGGGACCAAGGTCTTTAAGAATCTTCATGGACAGAGCGGCGGTTGATTCTCCCTCAGCTTTCTTGATATTATTCAGCTGAAATTAAATAGCCATGTTAGCAGGTAATCTTGGTGGTGCCTGATTGATCAAGGAATAATCTTACCTTTGATACCATGGTGTCAGCAGGATGACTGACAATAGCACAAAATACACCAGCGATGTATCCACCGAGGAAAGAAACACCCAATTGTTCAAGCTTATTATAATCTTCCTTGGGTTTTCCGACAGTTTTATAGATGTATTCTGGATTAAACAATCCTCGATCATTATCTTTTCATTCACGTTCAATGCTCAATGCGTGAAGTAAACAAAAATACGAACCGACAGTTCTTTCAAAACTAGCAAATTTCATCATAGTGTAGGGAACCTGTCTGGCCCAAAGTGGGGTGAGACCTTTGTAGAAGCTATTTTT